CATTCAGTGTTCCCATGTTCTGTTCGAATAATTGCTTCTTGGTCCATGGACAGATTCCTTATAAACACAATTAAGTGTTCAGGAATACTCTTACTTCACAATGTTGTCCATAGTTTGTCAAGATCCACACAATCAAATGCCTTTGTGTAGTCAATAAAGTACAGGTAAACATCTTTCTGATATTCTCTGCTTTCAGCCAAGATCCATCGGACATCAGCAATGATATCCCCATTCCATGGCCTCTTCTGAATCTGGCTTGAACCTCTGGAAGTTTTCTGTCAATGTAGAATTGTAGTTGTTTCTATATTACCTTTAGTAAAACTTTACTCACTTGGGATATCAAAGATAACGTCTGATGATTTCCGTGTTCTGTTGGGTCACCTCTCTTTGGAATGGGCACAAATACAGATCTCATCCAATTAGTTAGCCAGATAGCTGTCTTCCAAATTTCTTGGCAGAGATGAGTGAGTGCCTCTAGTGCCACCTCACTTTCTTAAAATATTTCAATTTTTATTCCATCAATTCCTAGTGCCTTGTTCTTTGCCAATTCCTTCAATGCACCTTGGACTTCTTCCTTCAGTATTATTGGCTCTTGATCATATGCTACCTTTTGAAATGGTTGTACATCAACAATTTCCTTTTGGTACAGTGACTCTGTGTATTCCTTCCATCTTCTTATGCTTTCTGCATCGTTCAATAATTTGTCCAGAGAATCCTTCAATAACAGAAGTTAAGGCTTGAATATTTTCTTCAGTTCCCCCAGCTTGAGAAATGCTGAGCGTGTTTTTTTTTTTTCTGACTTTTTGTTTTTTTCTGACTCCAGTTCTTTGCACATTATGTTGTAATATTTGACTTTGTCTTCTTGAGCTGTCCTTTGAAATCTTCTGTTCAGCTCTTGTACCTCCTCATTTCTTCCATTTACTTTAGCATCTCTATGCTGGAGAGCAAGTTTCCTTGTCTCTTCTGACATCTATTTTGACCTTTTCCTTCTTTCTTGTCGTCTTAATGACTTTTTGCTTTCTTCCCGTGTGATGTTCATGATGTCATA